ATAAGCGTATAAATTTAAACGTATCTTATCTTCTCAAAATATCGCGTTTATTCAACGTTGAATAAAAGTTCGCAAATAATCACTGTAAAAACGTCGCAAAGTTTATGGTTTATCAACATTAGACATTAGCTGCTTTTTAACGTATTTAAGCTATTTATAAAACAACGCTTATTCAACTTTAAATACACCAACTTTAAAAATGTAGTAAATTAAAAAACGTTGAAAAACTGTTACTTAGCCAACGTTAATAAAACGTTGCTTTGACAACGTTGAGGAAGTGGCATATTGAAAATTATTGTCTCAATAACTAGCTATTACAAAAATAATTTGCCATACTGGAAAGGCAAGGAAAACCTAATAGAATGCATGCATATGGTTTTAAAAATATTTTAATAAAGTAATCTTTTTTAACCTGTTTTCATTGCGAATAATATAAAACTTTTAGATTTTAAATCAAATTGTATACAATATACAAAAATCTCAGGGTAAATTCGATTTATTCAGGTTATTTTTATCGATTTTATATTTATTTTAAATTGACCGTTTTAATAAAATGTTAAACTTTTTTAAATATGTTATTTCTTAGTTGGAAAATATACTTAGTTTTAATAAGATTCAGATGTGTAAAATATTATCAAAATTAATAAAACATAATAAGTAAGACTAAATTAAGTCTGCTAACAGACTAAATTCCTAAATTATTTTAAAAAATTTGAACACCTCACCCTAATTATCAAGTAAATACTTCTGCATTGAGTCTTCCACCATCTTTTTTGTATAAAAACATGTTTGGATAAGTAACTTTATTTCCATTTTTTTAAAAGAGTTGTTGTTGTATATTAAATTTTAACATTTATTCTTAATCATATATTTTTATATATGGATAAGTTTATGAATATATATAAAAGAATATATATATATATATATATATATATATATATATATATATATATATATATATATATATATATATATATATATATATATATATATATATATATATATATATATATAAATATATATATATATATATATATATATATATATATATATATATATATATATATATATATATATATATATAAATATATATATATATATATATATATATATATATATATATATATATATATATATATATATATATATATATATATATATATATATTGACAACTAACTTAAAAATGTCTAAATTTGGCCACTAACTGAGCTGTAATTTTATTTGTATAAATATATTGATATTTATGTGTCTCATGCATACATACATATATATATATATATATATATATATATATATATATATATATATATATATATATATATATATATATATATATATATATATATATATATATATTATATTTAGTTTTATATATATATTTAGTTTTTTATATATATTTAGTTTTTACATATTTTTGTTATATATTTTTTTACTAAATAATTATTAACAGAATAAGAATTTTTCTGTTAATAATTATTTTATATATATTTATGCAAAGGATTTAATTTCCCAACTACAGAGTACCCCAAAGAATGTAAATGATTATGTTTGTGAATACTTTTGTTTCTCTTTTGATTTAAC